CAGTGGCTGGGGCTGCTCTCCGGAAGCATATCCTGTAGATCGTCTCCTTGGGCGTGGCTTCAGCCAGGCTTTATGCTAAATTTCACAGAGTGGTTTTCTTTCTTCTAAGGAGGTATAAATCTGGTTCTTAGATCTTCACTTCAATATATATGTAAAAAAAAAAGTTGCCATTTGTTTCTTTGAAAGTTCTGTCATACTTCTGTCTGGAGGTGTTAGGAGTATGCTGTATTTCACTTATTCTGTTTTTCCCTACAGTGTGATTGGAACCAGTTCACTTCGGAGAGCAGCTCAGCTCAAAAAGAAGTTCCCTCAGTTACAATTCAGGGATATTGTATCCTTTCCTGGCAAAACGTGGGAGCTGGGTAAAGCTGCAGAGGGGAAAATACAACTTAATGCAAAGTCTACATTCAAGGCTGATTTGTAGCAGCTGACCTAGAAGAACAAACTGTTTCCTCAAAGGCTGCCTGCCCCCTGGTACCCTGTTCAGAGGGTGGGGGTAGCACTGTAGCCATTCTATCCTCTGCTTTATCGAAGGCTGTGAACAAGGGGCCAGCTGTGATCTCACTGGGGTTCGGGGTGCATTGGATTGTGTGCTGTGCAGTGTTTGAGGAACGGTGCCTCCCATGTGTTTGTTGAAGGCGTGTGACCAAATGCCAGTGGGTTCCCAGTAACCCTGGATGTGATTTGGACCACTAGTTCCAATGTGGGTGGCTGAACTACTGAGAGAAGGCATTGTTACTTCGGTCCTAGGAGCCAAGTTCTTTGGAGTGCAGAAGGAGCTGGGTATTAATACTTAAATGACGTGCAGAGTCAGCACTTGAATTAATATTCCGTAATGCTTGGCAAAATTCTATTTAAAGAAACAATTGTCCATATTTAACACTTCTTTCAGGATGGTACTGATGTTCTCATTTGAAGGCTGTTGGATTCTGTACAGTCTGTAGATGCTCATGTGGTTGTAGGACTGCTTGCCTGCTGTTTCTATGCTTGCTTAACCACTTCTATAGAGAGGGAACTTAAATACCCGCCTAAAAAAGCTAGATGAGAAGGAAGACTTCAGTGCCATCATCCTGGCTGCTGCAGGGCTGAAGAGGATGGGCTGGGAGCATCGCATTGGCCAGGTGAGGAACAGCAAAGCAGAAAATACCGTTCTCTGCCGAACTGTCAACTGCTTGTGTTTCAGACCTTGTGGTCGTCCTGTCCAAGATGAGCATGCAGTCTGCTGACTCCATTGCCATGTTAGCTTGTGATTTGAGGTGCTTCAGGGAAAAGTTCTGGGGGTTTTTTTTGGTTGGTTGCTTTTTCCTTCATACAGAAATTTATACTGTTCAGCTTTCCATGGTTCAGTAACAGTTTGTGATCTGGTCATCTCCCAGCAGTTTGCAGCACTCATGTCTGGCAACGCAGTGTTGTGCAAGGCTCAGATCCTTGTGATTGGCTATTTCATAAAGTCCTACAGTCCAGTTGATGGAAAGTGCATTGTTTCACTTTAGCAGTGCAAACATTGGGGCATGGGAAGGGAAAGGTGATATTTCTTTGGTCTGACATGAAATCAGTTGGTATTAGAGACAAACATAGAATTTGGCTCCTGTTTCCTATATTCGGAACACTGCGACTTAACTCTGATTTTACTTTCTTCCAGCTCCTAGGCCCTGAAGATTGTCTGTATGCTGTTGGACAGGTATGTTGCAACTGTTGTACTTTAAGCCATGCTGTGTATTGAAAGCCAGCAGCAGCACAATGTGTCTGAGTGGCTAATTGTGCTGAAGACTTCTTGCTTGTTGGTTGCCAAAAAACTATTACGTCCATCTCTTTTGTTGGCTGTTATGCTGTTTTAGGCACGGCTTGTTGGAAGAATGGGAGTCAGCTCAGTTACTCAGTGTGGTGGGGGCTGATTTCTATTCATAATGGAAAAACAGTAGATGGGAAAGGTAACGCATGCACAGCTAGGATGGGTGACACAGCAGGTGTGGGGCAGGTTCTCGCAGGGTTGGTGTTACAGTGCACCAGGATAGTTGTGCAGAGCTGCTGCAGCATCTTTGCCCTCTGACGCTCCATCGTTCTCCCTTATGGTGTCCTGACTCCTGCAGGGTGGAGCTGAAACAGTTGTCTTGGAGCACATTCTTAGGGCTCTTGTTTCTGGGCGGGCAAGTGGTTCCAGTCTGTTCTGGGCACGTGGCTGAATTTACACAGGATTGCTCAGCTGGTGTCAAACTTGCTAAACCAGAGCCATTAGTGATTGCAAGTGACCAATCTGCACATTCGTTCTGAAACAGTGATTTTGTTCATGTGTTGGTCAGGTACTGTGCAGTGCCCTGCACCCCCTGCCCCATTGTATATCCAATTTAGGAAATAATTGTTTTGTCACTGTTACTCATTCAGTACTTGATCTGTTCCTTGATAAAAGGTTGTAAAGCTTGGATTTATCCAGCCTGCTCATCCCAAAGGTGCAGTAGGGTGGGTGTTTCTATATATGCAGACATAATTGAGATAGGTTCTAGAATGGTTTGAGGTGGCAGCGTGACCTTTAACATTTGGCTGATTAAGTTCCAATCATCTGTTCATAGCAGCTGCTATAGGATGACTCTGCAGCCAGTAGAGTGTTTTGTAATTCATTTCTGTAAACATCACTCCCTTAGTGAAAAGCGTTCGAGCCTCTAAATTCTGTTTCGTGGTCAATGCTGAGTGCACACACAGATGCATGAAGTTGAAGAATTACTATATTTTGTTGTGTGTTTCTTCTTCTAGGGTGCCTTAGCAGTGGAAGTTCGTGCCAAAGACCAAGAGATACTGAATATGGTATCTGCCCTGCATGATGCAGACACTGTGTTGTGCTGCATTGCTGAGAGAGCCTTTATGAAGCGTTTGGTAGGTCTGGCATCCTTGCTCTTCTGCCTGCAGCAATAAATACTGCTCTGCTAGTTGACTTGATGCCATAGTATGGGAAATCCATTACACTTTCCTAAATGAAGGAAGGATTACTTCTGAATCAAGAAGAGCCTGAAAAGTAATAGGTGGGGGTTGTGTGCAGCCTAAACTTTTCAGAGGCCTCTGCTTTGCAAGTGTTGGGTAGGAGCCTTAGTGTCAGCTGCTTTTTGTTTTAGGAAGGTGGATGTAGTGTCCCTGTTGCTGTCAGCACCCTGCTGAAGGATGGCCAGGTGAGGAGTACTTTGTTCTTTTCTGAAAACCTATTCCAAGTGTGTGCATGTTCCCTGATCCTTCCCTGAAGATAATTTCAGCAGATATCTTTATAGCTGATTAGGGCAGATAGTCTCCTGACTTGGCCCTTCCATGAATGGGTCTGGGTACTGAAGCCATCTTCTAGAAAATTCCCTTGTAATACATACCAGATTTCCCCTCTCGCCCTCCTTGCTTATTTTAAGGTAGTGTTGCCCTGAGATCTGAAAGTCTCGCTTCTGACCCCACCAAATCTGTTTTTAGACAATGGAATGTGATTAAGGAGGTGGGAAACGAGAAAAAAATTCCATCCTTTTCCTTGGGAAGTTGCATCTTCCTTAACAGGGATTTCTTCTCTTATGCTTGTATTGTACTGCTACTCTTGCTGTTCCCACTGCATGACAAAAGCCTTCCCCTCCAGACTTAGCTTTGTATGTTGGGTGGGGTTTTTTTAAAGAGGGGGTAGTTGGCTGTTTGTTTATTAATATGGTATTAATCCATTCTGTCTGTCTTTCCAAGTTGTACTTGACAGGAGCAGTCTACAGCTTGGATGGATCCGATAGCCTGAAGGAGACTATGCAGACCAGTGTCAACTACCCCCATCAGGTACATGCCCCCCAGTGGCTTCAAAATTCAAACCTGAAGCTAAATGACAAACCCCAGACCTTTAGAAATAGATTACTTTTGGTCTGCTTCCTTGGAAGTTGTAACAGCACACTGTTCTCGAGGCTCCTCATACCAGATTTTACCCTGTTTTGTGGGTGTCCGAAACAGCTCCATGCCTGCTCCTCCCTGCTGCCTTACCTAGAGGTGTTTATATTTGCAGAATGAAGATGGACCAAACGATGATGTGCAGCATGTTGGCATCACAGCCAAGAGTGTCCCTAATCAGGCCCAGGAAGCTGCAGAGAACCTGGGTGTTGAACTGGCTAATTTACTTCTGAGCAAGGGAGCAAAGCATATCCTTAGCGTGGCAAGGCAGCTCAACGACACATGCTGAACTCGGTGCAGCCAGGAGTGCTACAACACCAGCTACAAGACTGCAGCTACACCATCATCCTCTGGAGGGTGGGATTTATTTAAACACTCATACCAGTCTTGCCTGATGTTTGGGTGCAAAAACCTGAAATAATAAGCTAACTAACTTGAGTAGTTTGTGCCGTTCAGGGTTTTCATCCCTCTCCACATTTCTCTAAATTGCCAAGTGTCTCTTTGAAGTATTTTCAACAATTTTTGTAGCTAGGAAGTTAAAAGCAAAAATTAAAAATAAAAGTCAGTAAGCATTCTATTCCATTTAGGAACAAAGTGCTCATTACAGATTATAATTGGAGACTCAACTGTGCTGGTACTAAAATGCTGTACTGTGCTGAGAGAGTGCCTTATTTGGGCCGGTTCACTCACTGGAATACTGAAGGCTCCCATCAGGTTGATGATACCATGTTCGTTTTAGTGAAGTAGCACAGATATCACTTTCAACCTTGCTCTCCGTTAAGGTAAATTAAGTTTGCAGTTATCAGGTAGATGCAGATTTGCCAATTTGTCAGGATTAAATGATGCAGATTTGCCAATTTGTCAGGATTAAATGAGGGAGTGGACAGCCATTGAGTGCTTGTCCACAAGGGTAATCTGAGCCAGTTCATCTCCACTAGCCAGTGAATGGGGAGCTGAAGCAGAAGCCCAAAATTGGGCTATTGTGCCTTTCTTTGTAACAGCTCTTTCCTTTTACTTTGGCTCCTTGCACTCACTACTGGGTCACCATCATCCCAGGAGGGCTTGTGTGTTACAGTGCCTTGTAGAAATACTGAAATGGCACCCTATCGGGGTCCTGTTTTGTTAACGAAGCACTGTTTATTCTCTATGCAACGTCCACTGAAGGTAAGAGAGGTAAATACAAGTAAATTACGAGCCCTTACAGAGCAGCTCTTGTGTTCGGTGTCTGACGGGCCTCGGGCCAGCTCCTGCTCGTCCCCCGCAGCCGGCCCGACCCCCCCCCTCTCCTCCCCGGATTACAGCTCTCCCCGTGAGCAATGGGGTGGCCCTGAAAAGGGCCTTTTGTGTGGCGCCGGAGGGGCGGCCGGCCTAGTACTCCTGTGACTGCTGCCCGCTGCCCTTCTTGCCGGCCTTGGCGGGGCTCGCGGCGCCGCCGCTCGTCTTCTTGGGCAGCAGCACGGCCTGGATGTTGGGCAGGACGCCGCCCTGCGCGATGGTGACGCCGCCCAGCAGCTTGTTGAGCTCCTCGTCGTTGCGTACCGCCAGCTGCAGGTGACGGGGGATGATCCGCGTCTTCTTGTTGTCCCGCGCCGCGTTGCCCGCCAGCTCCAGGATCTCGGCCGTCAGGTACTCGAGCACGGCCGCTAGGTACACGGGCGCCCCAGCCCCCACCCGCTCCGCGTAGTGTCCGCGCCGCAGCAACCGGTGAACGCGCCCGACCGGGAACTGCAGCCCAGCCCGGGACGAGCGAGACTTGGCCTTAGCGCGGGCCTTACCGCCGCTCTTGCCACGGCCGGACATGATGCCTCGCTCCTCCGCTCCGGCCGCTGTGGCCAACTGAGGCGGCACCGGCCTCGCCGGGGCCTTTTATAACCTCCCTTCAAGTAGGACTCAGCTCATTGGACACCGACACCGTGCCTCGCTATTGGCGCGTCTGCCGTAAGAAGCTTTTTGCTGACTGGTCGTCTGTGAGACGCCGCCGCGTTTGTCCTGAGTGTATTGGCGGCGGGGCCCAGCCAATCAGCGAGCGCGGCGCCAAATTTAAACCGCGCCGAGGCCGTTGGAGGTGTGTGGGGGTTTTGCGGCGCCTCCCGAGCGGAGGGTCTGGCGGCACTAGCGGCCGGTCCCGCGGAGTCCCTCGTGCTGTCCGTCCGATGCTCCGGATAGCAGCGGGTAAAGCTGCAAGGTCAGGTCTGTGTGAGGAGCTTTGGCTCTGCCAGCTCTCAGGTTACTAAGGGATTGGACCAAAGGGGCAGATGAGGCACCCGATGGCCGAACCAGCACGATGGTCCCCCTCCTGGGCTGCTCCCAGAGGTTTTGAGGACTGGAGTCAGCCTCTGGGCCTGGGCTTTGGTCTTGGCCTGGCTTCCATCCAGAGTGAGGCAGGAGGGCTTCTGGGATGCCTGCAGGCCAATGAGTGTCCTCATTCATACAGAGGAAGAGCATTTGGGAACAAAAACCTACCATGAGATCCTTTTAGGGGATTGTGGGAACGTGTGAGACGTATTATGGGTTTATAGTATGGGTATATCAAGGGAAGCACCAAAGGCGGGGAAGGAGTCAAAGCTGACTAGGAGGAAAAAAATATGGGACCATTGAAGGAGAAAAAGTGTGAAGAAAGTGGCCACGTCTTAATACGTTGCTGATCAGTAATAATTATCTCCGCAGCCTGTCCCATCTCACTAAACTCCGTTTCTAGGTGTTTTTCCTAGGGTGAGGGGACTGTCAACCCTGTGTGTTTATGAATGTCTGGAGGTCTTAAGTACCAGCCACTGGCATCAGGCCACAGGTGAAAGGGGCCAGTGTGTATGCAGTTCCAGCAAACAGGAAGACCTCAGTGCATGCAGGGAGGGGAGGGGCCAGGGCTAGGGTGGAACGAAAAGATGTGTGATCCCTAGTGAACGAGCCAGACCAGAGAGTGAGTAGGATTTAGAGCCAGGTATCCAGGATCTCATATGGGAGATGAGGGTGGGCAGGATGCTTACTGGAGGTAGGGCTAAGCCAGCTTACTGAAGAAAATGGGGTGGCTGTCTGGGCTTTGCCTACTGGATCAGAGCAGAGAGATTAATTTCTCTCCATATGCCCTGATGCCATGAAATCCAGCAGCACATTTTTGGACAGACCGAGTGTTTAAGGCCAGGTACTGAAGGGTTTTGTAATGTTTGTGTATGTGAGTATGCGTTTATGAATATATTCTACTAGTAGACTTACAAACTGGAGAAGAGGAAGAGGATTTGGCACTTGTGCCATCCACGCTCGAATGCTGTGTGTCGTCTCTGTTGCTCAGTGCCACTGGACATACATGTTTTTGCATACTGGAAAAACATCCCAAGCTTCGCTACTGGCTGGACGTGGGTGTGTGGAGGTGCAGCAGCCTTGCATCTATTAAGGTACTGGACCTGGCAACTCCTACTCAGCCACCTCAGCATCCCTGTTTTTGCCATTGCATTATTTCACTTTTCACTGCCGTTAATCTTGCGCAGACTCTTTAACCTGGTGCTCCAATGGCTGTTCTGTATTTTTCTGCTGGGTAAGCAGTAATTCTGTCTTGAACTATGGTGCTATACTGCTATATAGGTAATTATTTATATTTGATGAGAAGATAATGGCAGCCTGCAGGGTCTTAGTTCCATGTTAATCTAAGGACACAGCGATCCTTACTCTGCTAGCCTATTCCAGATGTGCCCTCTTCCACGGAGGAAGGCAGATGATGATGTTCCAAATTAAAAGCCCATCAGCAGGGAACATTCCTAGTAGCCATAAAAAAGGAGGGAGTCAACTGCAGAAATGATCAGCCCCCTAGCAGGGTAGAAAGGTACAGGGAGGGATCACGTAACCCAGTTTTACTGCATGTCAATACTGCCATGGCAAAGCACTGCAGGGGAAAGGGTACCATGAGTTATTTTATTCTTGGAGCGTTCTGAGTTTTGAGCATGGTTTATAACATGTCACTCTTTGTCCACGGACCAAAGGATTGGAAAAGCCAGGAGCGAAATCTGGTTTACTTATTGTGCTCTACAGCATCTCACAGAATTTAAAGTTGCTGTTTTCTCTCTTGAGGAACAGTAACATCCTTGTTAGATGTATAGAGATTATTCCATCTTTCCCACTTCCCTCAAGTGCTGTCAGTAAACATTTGGGTCATTTGCTTTCCCTCTGAAAGGTATTCCCAGTAACAGTGATGTCCAAGCAGCAGTGAACCCTTTCCATCAACAGAATTGGACAAAAGCCTTTGATGCACCAAAAAACCCCAAAACAAACGGTTCAAGACTAGCCCACATAGAGCAGTTGCTTGTGTTTTGACAGGTGTTCTGAGGTTCTCAGAGGGCTGGAGTAAGATCAGTTGAATCATTTGATCAGCAACTGGAGAAAATGGACTGGCTGGTACAACTCTTTCCCCTACTCCTGACAGTCCAGTCAGACATCATAAAACAAACGCACTAGTTGGTACCGGATGGAAAATGCAATGGCGCTGCCCAGGACCTAGGTAAAAAAGACATACAACAGAAACATTACAGCGTTGAATGGTCTACAGGCTGTCAGATTCCTCCTTTCCATATGGATTTGCTAAGCTTTCCAGCATGCCTCCTTTCATTAAATAGCAACATATAGGCTAAATTTTTTAGGTATAGGAAGATAAACAGCAGAATTCTATCCACAGACCCAATTTCATATATCATAATATAATACGGTTTGTAATGGAAAATACCTCATGTCAAAGCTGCAATTCGGCATCCTTACAATAAGGTGCTGTCAGGAATTCTTTGCTGTGACTGGGCTCTGTACTTCCTGTCTTCTGCCATCCCCAATGTCATCTGCCTAAGCTCTGTTTGTCCTTCCTCCTGAATGGGAATTTTGCTAAGTGTCTCTTTTGTAATAAGACCCTCTTATCTTAAATCTGAGATTGAAAAAAAAAAAGTATCATGGGCAATTAACCAACACTGGCCTTTCCAAAAGTGGTGTTTCTACTATATTATGCATGAGAGTTCATATGCTGAATAGGGGTAGTGGCAGTCTGTGAGGTGTATTACCCTTGTGTTCCAAGTGGCTCCAAAATGCTCCTGCTCAGATTCTGGGGACTGCTGAGCCTTGTGCCACCCTTACACAAGTCCACCTGTCAGAGATAATTCTCATTTGCTATTACTGACAAACAGGAACACGCAGAAAGGCTGTACTTGGTCAGTCACAAAGCACTCTGCTGTCCTCATGTTTTTCTTGTAGCCAATAATCCGTGCCTTGGGAATCTCCTCAAGCTAACCTAGGGACTTTGTTTTTATAAGCTCTCAATGAACAGGGAGGTGTGCATGTGAATTTGCTTCCTCCTTGAGCTGTGTAAGCCTCCCTAAGTTCCACAGCTCAACTGCATCTTGTGTGAAGAGCACGATAATGTACTTCCCCCTTTCCCCTTAAAACTCTTGAGACTGACTTGGATCTGTTTCCATTGCAGAGTACATCTTTCTACTGGAGGAACCCGTTGTCTGACCTGAATGAGTAGCAACAGAAGAGTGAGATTTCGCTCCTGGGTGGGTCCAATCAGCTTTATGACAAAGTTAATAAGTGTCATATTATTGCATTCAGTATATTCGCCATCTTCATCCATTCCACTCCTCACATCTACTACATGCAAGATCTTGACTACCTGGGGAAAGAAATATTGCACATTATTGCACCAGATACGTTTGGTGCTCACTGGCTTGGTTTTGTTCAAGAGCCCTTTTGCTGTACCATCCCTGAAATCTGGCCTGTGTTCTTACTATAAAGACAGGATGGACTTATGATGGTCCTGGGACACTGCTATGTGTGGTTATTCTGAAAGACTGATTATTAAAACAATCAAGTGACCGTGAGGGATGGTAACAGAATAAGCAGAATATTTTCTTCTGGATTTGAGCCAGGAAATAACTACTGAACCCAGAAGTTTTGCATTCCCTTCCATCTTGCTCCTCTTGCATTTGACCACTGCCTCAAAATGCATCTGAATTTTGAATGTTTTCTGGGTATTACCTTCAGAATGTTTGATCCTAGGGCAGAGAGGCTCTTAGTTTTGAATTTGGAGTAGCTCATCTCCAACTTTCCTGTACTAGGGTTAAGCCTAAAAGAAACATTAAAAATTTAGTCCAGATAAAACAATGAGACAGAGAGATCCCTATGTAAGCAGACTTAGATGCACAGCTGAGTAGACAAGAAAGAAATGCAGTGGAGGAAAAAAAAAGTAACCCAACGCACTTAACAACAGCTGCTGATACCTAGTCCCTCAGAGGGAGCAGAGGAGACTCCTCCTCCCCTGTACCCCCTATATATGCATAAAGCTGTATAGTTTAAAGATTAAAATAGAAGAATCTAACATCTGCAGAGACAATAGCTGACATGGCGTAGTGCTGCAGAATGCTTGCTACTATGAAATCTTAGCAGATCTCACTGCAACAGCATTAAAAGCAGCCTGTGTCAACTTCTCTCAATCTTGTAGCTGAGAATCATCATATTCTAATATTGTTAAAATTATTCTTCTGTATCTGAGGAGTGGGGTGGTCAGAAAAGTTCACTTTTCTGAGAAACCTCTACAGTATGACTCAACTGTAGCTGACAGAGTGAGCTGGCTACCTTTTAACTAGAAAACATACTTCAATGGCTTTTAAAAAGAGCACCTATCACCTCCTTTCTCAGCTGGTGTTGAAGATAAAAGACACAATCTGTGGTACCACTATAGGTCACTCAGGTACATTACCTTGGCAGCCGGTGACGGGGACAAGGAATGATGTGGAAGAGTTGAGGCAATGAGTAGAGGAAATTGAGCACTTGTGGGATGAAGAAAAGCAGCATGGTTTTGCTGAAGTGCCCCAAGATCCCCACCACAGCAAAGGTC